GAGCATGTGTTCTCCTGAATTCCAAGCACAGTGTCTGATCCCTGATGCTTGTCTTCCTGGATTCCGGTCTCCTTCCTTGCTAATCTCTGCTTCAGCAGACCTCACTGGAATTAATCAGTGATCCACACCTGCCAGGATCTTTTGTGTTGAACCAATAGCCCCCAGTCTCAGGCTCTCTGGCTTTCTCTCTCTAATTCATTGTCTCCAGGCTTTTCAAGAATTGGTCTGATTTTTCAAAGGCCCCAAATCAGTTTGAAGCTTTTTATAAACCTCTGAAGTGAAGATGTTGCTTTCATGTCCACAGATCATGTCACAAGTCAAAAGTGGAAGGTGAGCAGTGGGGAGCACTGAGCCTCTTGAACGCCATCTATTGTCAAAGGCATAGTTATAGGTGTCGGGCTTCTTGCTCCTAACTTACAATCTCTTGAAAAGCAGGCATCTGAACTTCTTGCCATCTCACAATCTGCACCATGCTCAGCACAGTGCCTGGTCATTCGCCCTCAGCATTTATGGATGGACTGAGTTAATTGACTAATGCTTGATGAACAATTGACAAATGGGCTTTTGACCGGGTCCTCTTCCTCCTGCCCGTGCTTAGGTAAATAATGAGTACCTGTTGCCTGTTCCGACAAGCATTGTCTGTCTCTGAGCTTTCTGGGTTTCAGAAACCCAGTAAAGACTGAAAAAAATGTTCTTGGGGTCTGACAGTCATGGAAACTGCTACAAACAGAAAAATAAATAATAACCTAAAGACAATTGGGGAGAATAGCGTGTATCCACGTTGTTTAGGTGATTTATGACACTTTGCAGCTATATCTGAGCAGATAAAAGGGGGTTACAATTCATGGGAAGAGAAAAGAAGCAAAGAAAATTCTCACTTCTAATGTGCATTTAGGAATGAATGAAAACCAACACAGAGCTTTGCAAAGGATGAGATTGGCCTGAGCACTTCAAGGTAGGCCAGCCTTCTTCCTCTTCCTGAACAATGGCACCTGACCACCAAAGAGCTAAGGGGGCACGTGCATCTTTGCGAGTCCCTGATGTGTGCCAGAGTGAGGCAGGGGGCTTAGAGGGGGAACTTAAAAGAAGACTTGTATTGTTCACATAGCCTTTCAAGCATGGGAGGGGTGGAATTCCATCTGTTTCTTCAGTTCACTGAACCGGTTCAGTCTGAATGGTTCACTGGGTTGTGACACTGGGTAGAAATTACAACTAATGTTTAAAACAACCTTTATGCTATCACTTATGAAACTCTGATCGGATCATTGTGAAGTTTTCAGCTCCTTGTCTTCTGATCTGTATCCAGGCGATCTCTCTTCTTGTGAAAAATAAATAAATAAAAGGTTTTTAAAAAACAGACAAACAGAAAAGAGAAATATATTTGCTGAGCCTTGTATTGCTCACAGACTTGATTTGTGCATGATTTCAGACAAACACAGGAAGTTACTCGGTTTTCACCCGGGCTTTGAATTTAACTTGGTTTCCTGACCATGAACTCTGCATGTAGAAGAAGCTGTAGGCGCCTGACAGTCTTTGCAGCAGCTTAGCAGATACTCTACCTTGAGGAACAGGTAGAATTCCACTCTGTTCGCTTGAATGACTCCCTGAACAATACCAACTTAGTAAGCTTTTCAGGGCTGGGAGGGGGGAAGGCACTGTATACCACATGTGGCCAGTGGCGGCTAGCTAAGGTCTCTTGCAGACCTGTGCAGGTGGCCAAAAACTGGTCTGAAATGATCATAGTTTCACTCAGCTCATCATTTTCATTCACCCGAAGAGGAAACAAAGAAATGGCAAAAGGCAGCCATGATGTGAAATGGCAGATAACTACCTGCCTTACATTTGTACACAGCACAAGAGTGGAGGAGGTGCTGACTGGGAAGTTTGACACACAGCATTCCCACTGCACTTTGTAGCCCACCTTGGAAGTACCAGACCTATTTTTCACAGAGTAAAAGAACCATGTGACCTGTGCAGAAGGGAAGAAAACAATCAAGGAAGGCTTCAGGAAAATGTTGCCCACATGCACTGGAGAACTAAGCAGGGTGTAAGGCAAGATCTAAGGCAGGAGCTATGGCTGAAGGAAGTCCAAAGGCCTGACCACATCAGCGATCAGACATTCACCATCATCACATGTGATTAAGGGTTTGTTCTTATCAGAGAAGTGCTCAGTATGCAAGCACAGGAGCTACCACAAGAATCCAAGTACATATCTGGGCAGTGTGTGTTTGCGACTCCAGTGCTGGGAAGGCAGACAGAATAGATAACTAGGATTCCATAACCTGATCAGTGAGCCTCAGGTTCCAGGCAAAAAACAACATTGTCTCAGAAAACACTAGACACCAAAGGTGTGTGTGTGTGTGAGAGAGAGATGATGCACAGACAGAGATACACAAAGAGAGAGAGAGAGATACACAGACAGAGATACACAATGTGCACACACACACACTAAATTCCAGTAAATAAAAGATACTGAATTGTTCATCCACAATGGAAAGATTGCAATTCAAACAGTGAACTTGTGAGTGGTATTTTACTGACTCTTGCTTCCTATTCTTTTCTGAGATTGTTATATTTATTATGCTGACTTTCATACACAACTGTCAACAGTGTCCTTAACTGTGTCTTGTCTTTCTTCAACATCACCCAGGTACCATCACAGTCAGATCAAAGACGGTCAGCTGTGACATGTTCACTGTAACAGGCCTGATGCAAGAGGCCATCTGTGCTTTCCTAAGGCACACTCATATTTCCATTGCAGTTGCTCCTCTGGACTTGTGCTGTTGGCTGTCAAGTGATTTTGTCTTGGCCTTGTCTGTTTGTGTTTGTCTCAACTTCAACTCTTTTAACTGTACTCTTCTCCATTGGAGAGACTGGATGAGTAGTTTTCAACACTAGAAAGATGATAGATCAACAGTGTGGTCATTATTAATATCAATAGCACTTTGTATTGTTAATCTTAACAAATTTTTATTGTATTTTCTCTTTTATTAGTCTTCTTCCCTTCAAAAACTTCTCATTTCAAACGGCAAATTATTAGTCAAACTAGTTTTTGTCAGGTAGAAACTAGGTGCTCTATAAAGCAGCTAATCTACTGAGTGTGGACTTGGTACATGTCTACTTTTCTCTTATTAAACATATTTTATTTTATTTTACAATTATGTGAGGATATGTGTGTAGATCCCAGTGGAGGTTAATGTAGAAACCCCTGGAGCTGGAGTCTCAGACAGTTGTAAGCTGCACAACATGGATGCTGAGAACAAAACCCAGTCTTCTGCAATAGCAGCAAGTGCTCTTAACTGCTCAACCAGCTCTCAAGCGCCTCAAAAACATAAGGCACACTATATGATGCTTTGCATGCTAATTACTTCAGGAAGCAATAAATGTCAGAAAAATATCAAAATTGTAGTTAGGTGTGACTTTTTATTAGAAATCACAACAAAAGGATATGCTTCTGCAGCAAGGACTGTAGGGCTAGCAGAGGAAGAAGACACGGGGATCAAATAGTGGCTGTGAGAAGCTCTGAGACCCCTCTGCAAACACAGATCAGACACTGGGGTGTCTGCTAGTTTCATAACCTGAACTGGTGACATTGAGGAAATCACAGTGTGCTCCAACATTGCTGGCAAGCTTCACACAAAGGAGAAGAAAAGAGAAAAGAGGAAAGTCACACATCACAAGCTCCTTGGAATTTCTGGAAGACAGGACTGACCATGGTGACCAGGGGAAAACAATGAGCACTCTACCCTCCAGATGCATCTCTTGTTGGAAACTATTTACAATAGCACATGTTAAATATTACACAAAGTTTTAAAACAGGTAAATTTGTTAAGGTGTAGTGAAGAGGTTAGAAAATGTAGACTTGTTTCCTGAAAAAAAGGGGGGGGACACTCAAAATATAACACATGTCAAAGTGGAAACCCTTCAAATAGAAAATGAAAATAGACATTTACTGGACACCTACTGTGTTCTAGCCATGCTACACACCTGCTCTCACAGAGTCTCCACTCAGCCCTGTGAGGTAGATACGATTGTCCTCATTAACTACTTGAGGAGGCTGATGCACACAGAGATTAAGGAGATCGCCTCAAGTCACTCAGCTGGGAAGTGAGAAGGGAGGAGGTTCAAACTCAGTGCAGTTGCCACTGGGGGCCATGATCTTGCCATCTCAACACTGAGGCTTCTAGCGAGACTACTGTAGCTGTCTCTGACCTTCACATCCTTCAAGCTTTCCTTCATCACAGGATGGGCTCTACCTCTGAGCTTCCTTAACATTCCTGCCTTCCAGCTTTCCAGATTCTTATAGAGCAGGTCCTGGATTCCATCCTTCACAGCAAGGTACCACATTTTGTTACCACTTTGCAGGCATTTGGATTTCTCCCAAGTGTCCAGCCTCAAGCTGATGGGCCTGGGTACAAGGGAAAACTCTAGAGGACAGAGAGGTTTCCCTGCTCTTTGACCCATGCTTCACTCCGTACAAGATATCCCTAGTGCGTATGTACCTTTAAATATGGGTGTGCAATGAACCGTGCAGAGTTCAGCAACATCTTTTGGCTAACTAGCTGACATTTTGGTGCTTAATAAAAGTGGACAGAGCCTGGGGGAGTCAATTACAATAAAGGTACTGAGCTAGAACTTCACAAGAAAGGAAGAAACAAAACAAAAATAAAGTTGAAGGAAAACTGTAAGAAGTGCATGTCAGTAGTCATTAGCTTCTATCGTAACTAAAGCTCCTACAACCTTTCAGTGACCTAATGTCCATGTTATGACAGCTAGTATATTTTATATACCGTATATAGGCAGGTACACACACACACACACACACACATTTAAAACAAAACTGTAAATTTAATGTTTATTTTTTAAATTAAAGTAAGTTAAAGTTACTTGACAATAAGGTTTTTTTTTATAATCATCCCTGAAGGTAATTTTTACATCCCCAGGTATCGCAAAATCAAAGCACCTCATGCTCCAGTGGTAGAACTATTTTGGCCTTCAAAGAATAAACAGCTCTAGGAGTTTACCAGAGGCACTTGCCCATTAGATAGGCACTTCCTGGGGATCCACATGAAGCCCGTTGGTGATTCCGTCACTGACCCAGAGAGAGCTTGATGTTCCGTGCGGCCCTTTCAGGTTCCTACATGACACTTATTTGACAGGTTGAGATTCTGTTAAGAGAATTTAAGAAATCTAGACGTAAGATGTAGGTGTGGCTGTTTGGTGTTTTGTTTTTTTTTTAAATACAGGAAGCTCTGGGTTCGACCCCAGCACACCCCAGCTATGGTGGTGTAGTATTGTCTTAGCACCTGGAGGAGTAGAGCATCCTCCCAGTGCTGCATGATGAGAACTGGGGGTCAGCCTGGGATACATGTACACGAGATATAAAGGGGGAAGGAGAAACATGTTACCAACAGGCATTTTCTTGTATTTCTTGCCTTCCCTTCCTTTTGCTTCAAGAAATTTACATTCAAAAATACCTAGAGTCTGGTGTGGCATCACAAGCCTTTAATCCAATCTCTCGGGAAGGCAGAGATCTGTGAGCTCTAGACGGGCCCGTGCCATGCAGTGAGACTCTGCCTCAGAAATAAAACAAAATAAACATACTAAGTATTTCAGAGTAACTTAGTCACATGCCTGCTAATAGTCACTAAAAATAAAAGGAAGATATTTTTAAAAATAACTTATCGGTTCATTCAAAAGTAGCAAACCTATTATATGTTAAAATAAATTACACGTCTGTGAAAAGTAATGAATGTTACCCAAACAAGTTAGTCAGAATCATCCCTTCCTTTTCATCTGACTAAATATAGTAAATGGACTGGATTTTCATGTTCGTTTATATATTCATTTTAATATGCTGCTCCAGTAGAAGTACATAAAGAAAGTTCAGATTAACCCAGACACATAGAAATGGAAAAGCCTCTTTAATAGCCATATGAGAACATTTTAGATATTTTTTAATACAACTCCAAAAGTCGGTATGCATCATATTTCAACATCCCACATCATGTGAAATCATAGTATTAATTAATACTTTATACTCTTATTAATACTTGTTCTGTTTTCCATGAGCCTTTTGTCATTACATGATGTAGGGGTGTGTGCATGTACACCTTTGTATGTAAAATCAAATAATCATTTTTAGAATAGACTGTTTCAAAGGCTGGATATTATTCAGTGGTAGAGCACTCATCTAGCATACGGAAGTCCCTAGTTTTACCGAGGGGGAGGGGAAGTTGTTTCACTAGTCTGTACAAAGGTCCTAAACACTGGTACGCATCACTATGCAACATTAAAAAATCCATCTACTAATAATGTCCACAATCTCATTAGAAAAATATCTAAGTAAAATCCATTGTGAAACATAAGTTTGCTTGTATTCTATATTACACTAAGACTTCAAACTGCATCACTGTTAATGAACCTGAGAGCCAGGGTTCTGTAGCAACAATCCCACATGTCTGCAACTTGAAAAGCGGTAAGGTTCCATGGCAAAATCATCTGTCTTACCATTTTCAAGTATCCATGCTCCGTATCTAGACAGGATAGCCTGTAGTACTGCTTTGTCTGGGGCTACTGTGCCTGCTTAATTGCAGGTCCTTATTCAATAATTACTTAACTTCTTATCTGCCTTCTTGTGTCCAACAGAGTTGAAACGCTGAACTATCCCAGAGCAAATATTCTTACTCACCAAAGTCTCAGCACATGAGACAGAGTGTGTTTAAGGAAGTAAACAATAAAGGAAGTGTTGGCTTCCAAAAAGCTGAACGTCTAAACAAGGTTCACCTTCATTTTATTATTGCTGCTGCTATTTTAGGGAGAATACCAGAGGCTAACGTGAAGGAATCTGTGAGCCCCACAGATCAGGCTACTTGCAGATATCATCCTTTGCTTGCTTTTCTGACTTTCTTTTTTACTACTCCTCATCCTGAGAGACATGTGGGCTGTGTGGTTATTCTTTTCCATTCCTACTCTCTTACTACACGAGATGACAAGGGTACCTTGTTTTTGAGTCTCCAGAAACCTGTACAGGACTTTCCACATAGAAACTGATAGAAGACCTGGGAATTATTTCAAATCCTGTGTGTCTTCAGCTGCACCAACTAAATGAAGTCCTAGGATCAAACTGATTTAAATTTGCCTAAACAGATGCTTTTGCAAGATGCCTCAACTATAAATTTGTTTTCTTAGTGTCAGGGGAAACTAATATATCACTCAGTACTTACACACTTTTGTGGTTTATAAATTATTTTGTACTTTCATTCCCTCTTGTAGTCATAGTATCCATAGTCTATTTTTTTGCCTCTTATTGGGCTAGGAAATCAACACAGCTCTGTTTGATGTAAAAACATAAAATAATATAATATAATTAATATAATTAATATAATATAATAACTACGAGTAAGCACCATCATTCCCCATTTACAGATGAGAAAACTGAGGCTTAGTGATATTATTCAGTGGTAGAGTACTCATCTAGCATATGTGAGTTCCTAATTTTACCTGAGGGAGAAGGGAGATTGCTTAGGGGTTAAATAACCTGGTCATGTAAACCACGGAGGCAGAACCTGAGCATAGTTTTCGAACACCAAAGTTTCAGTCTTTCCCACTACAGCACACTCTTGGAAATTTGATTTTTGTTCTTCTTATTGAAAATACTCCAAATTCTTTATCAGAAGTTTTCCTCAAAACACTGTGGTTTGTGATTTGCTGTTTTTGGAAAGCTTACAAAAAGATTAAGAGTCTTAGGATTGGTGTTATTTTTTTTAAGAGTCTCAGAGCTAAATGAAAGCATCATCAAACCTGAGATATTTTGTTAGAGAGACAAGCGACAGCCCTGGAAAGCGACTTGGTTAAAGCTTTTAATATATCAAGCATTAGGCAGGGTGCTAGGCTACTTAAAGATTCTTTGCATTATTTTCCCCATAACCTAATAATATTTTTATTTTAATATATTCTATTCAAAATACTACTCAAGCTGTACTTAGTAAACTAATGAAATTTAATATCCTGATTCATATTACAGGCATAATAAAAATGTGTTCGAGAACCTTTTAAGTGAATTTGTAAATGATATGGTTGTATTCTTGGAAAATTCTATTATGTTGATATTGAATAGTGACATTGAAAGCACAAGGGCCTTGTAACTGTGACACACTCACTCTCTGGGTTCATGTGATTTACTAAAATTCAGACAAGTCATTCTTGTAGTGCATGTCTAAGGCAGCACTAGCCTTTGTCAAGCGTCTTGGTGTCAAATTTATAAATTTTATAAATTTTTAAAAAATAAAGTCCTGTGTTTGTGGGTATGAATTTGGCTTAAAACTCCCATTGATTTTTATCCCTAGTTCATTAACAAATAACAATTAAAATATCGTTCAGTTAAGTGTCCATTTATTAAGTATTTTTTTGCCAACTCTAGTTTTTTATGAGAGATAAGCATCAATAAAGAGGCAAAGAAAATAATCAAGCATGGCTTACCAAGTGTTTGTGTGCACTGCCCTGTTCCCGCAGTCAGCTTGCATCTACTCTGATGGGATACTTGACTCTATTGCAGGTTTTATATGACAGCAACTTGAAGAGTGGAAACAGGTATGATTATTAATGCTAAAACTGAGTCATGATATTAACTGACCCACTTATCTACAGACTAAAGATGCATGAGATAAAAATAATATAACTGTTCAATTGCTAACATCTGGAAATCTCTCTAGCATTTCACTTGGGTGAGTACATTAAGGAATATTAACTTTTAAGCATTCTCAGTGTGCCGATGTGAAGATACAGCTAGATTCCTCTAGAACATTGGCTCTCAGATGTAAGCCGCCATCACAATTACCTAGAAGGTTCTAAAGTCATAAACTGTTGTACTTCCTCAGCTCCTCCAGAGTCTCAATTTCAGTAGATGTGGGAGAGAATCTAAGAATCCGCATTTCTACAGGTTTTGGGGATGATTCCATTATTAATGGTCCAGTGGTAGAAACACTTTGGGCATCTCTATTCTAATATAACCAATATCATGCTAAATCATCATACTATCATGTAATATCATACTAAATGTAAGGTTGCAAAGTTTCATAATGAATTCACAGGGTTAAGTGAACTTTTGCCAAAAATAAAGAAGAGTGACAGTGAAGGAACGTGTAGCTGAATCTGTCACAGAGTTAGGAAAACAAGAAAACAAACTTCTCATAAGTGGCTTAAATAATGGAGCAAACACAAGGACGGGAAAGAAGGTCTTCATCAGCTCAATGTATTTGCACATCGTCTCAGCTGTTCATGATAGGTTTCAAAAGTGTCATCCCCGCACAAACACAATGACTTCACAGCGTCAGATTTGAATACAGAGGGAATTAAAGCAAAACAAAACCTTATGGAATCAAAGAAACACAGGATCAGAGGATATGGCTAAGTTTGAAAGGGCTTGCTGAACAAACATGAGGGCCTGACTTCAGCTCCCCAAGAAGCCACATTTAAAACTGGATGTAATAGCTGGCATCTGTAATTTCAGCTAAGGAAGCTGAGACAAACAGACCTGTGTTGTTCACAGTCTAGTGAGTGCCAGCTTCAGTGAGAGGCACTGTCTCAAAACACTGGAGAATTAGTGAGGATAAACATGGCATTGAATTCTAGCCTCCACACTTACAGGTATGTACATGTGCCTTCATGCCCTCATGTAAATACACACAAACACACAAACACACACACACACACAGAGAGAGAGAGAGAGAGAGAGAGAGAGAGAGAGTGTGTCACACACACACACATACACACACAAGCACGAGCATGGCAGGAACTCTTCCTCCAGCTGAGAACACTTTAGATAAGCTTTGAAAAACTTTCTAAAGACATTGCTTTTCATTCATATGTAACAATTCCAGATTTAAGTTTGAAAAAGGTTAACTTCATGGAGCATGAAGACGTCAGTAAATGATCAATTGCTAGAATAGACCATCTAGATCCTTGCCTGTGCATCTTTTGGGGGGCTGTGATCCTCCCAGATTCCTTTGTCCAACTAGCCATGCAAATTCATCTGCTGCCTGTAGGCAATGGCCAGATGCACATTTTTCTTCCTGAAACTGTAGGTGATACCAGAAATGACTCCGATTCCTAAAACCACAGAAATTAAGAGCAATACTGGTGCGCAGACACAAGTCAATAATAACCCCTGGGATAGGCGACGTCCTCCAACAGCCTCATCATCTTAAACTCTGCATCACTCAGCAATCTTTGTCAGCTATGGATTACAAAAACCAAGAATCATCTGGGATAAGAGATAAAATGTTTTAAGTTCAGCTTGTTATGTCTAATGTAAAAGAGGTCCAATTAGGCAATCTAGAACCAGTGCAATGGTTTCTGAGTTCACCAGGAGCCAAATCGCTTTCAGCATCATGGATCACCATCAAAAGTGTCAGGCTTGTCTTCGTGATTTTGGTTGTGCTGCTAGGTTTCAGCTGATGAGAGGAACATTCTCACAGCACATTGGAGGGCAGGAAGAAGGCCAAGTTCCCAGTCCTGCCTTAAAGAGACTTCCTAACTACACCACAGCAGTCCCTCCTCCATGTGGCTGTCAGGAAGGTTGAGAATATTAGTTTGTCATAAGGAACTCAAGTAAAAATTAAGATTCTGTTAGAAGAAGGAAGACACATAGTTGGTGTCATCAGATACAAAGAAAATAAAATTCTTACCTTCCATCATAGAAAGTGGTTAAAGGGGGCTAGCTCTCCTCAACATCACACTGCTTGAGAGTCAGTTTTTGTAGAACACAAGAGCTACCTAGATGGGGTAAATTCAGAGGCCTGGCATCCTGAGGCTGCAATTTAGCACCCCAGGTAGTGTGTGACTGAGGGGTTGCCTGGGACTCTTTTAGAAGCCCCACAGCTTCCTTACCGATTATCAGCCAGCTTTCATCACTGCCTGTCACGTTGTTGATATTCCTATTTAAAACAAACAAACAAACAAACAACAACAAACCAACTTGCCTATTCCTCTTTAACTCTGTTATCCTCCATAATGATATCTGGCAGATGGACACAGTCTCACTCTTTCAAATGCTTGTTCAACTGATACAGAAAAGCTGGATCAATGAGAGATGGATTTTAGGAATGCAGTTAAGTTCTTTGAAGGCAGGCCCTAGCAAGCTTCCCCAGGAGGAGTTAACCTGAGTTCCACACTGGATCTGTGCTGCTGTGATTCTAGTGGATAGAAACGGCCAGGATCAGGCACCACAGTCAATCTAACAGTGAGTGATTAACAGCCAAGACTGAGCTCTGGTGCTTTATTCCAAGCCCCTGCTCTGGCATCTCTTTAACACTCAGGTAAATGTCAAAAATGCATCCAGGGATTATAGCTGACAAGGGGTAAAAGCCTTCATGTTGTCCTCCAAAGGTTAGGGTTCCCAGGCCCAGTTGGAAGCCCTAGTCTCCAATAACCATTAATCCACTCTCCTCTTGTAGGAGTGAGCATATTTATGGCTGCAGTCACTAAAGGGTGAAATAAAGATTAGTTTTTAGTTAGGAACGCAAAGCTTTTGAGATCAATACAAACACACTGCTGAAATCAATCTAAAGTTTGGAATTTTTAAGTAAAGATTTACTAGGCTTTCTTGTACATTTAATTTTCCAAAGGGAAAATAAGCCCAGAAATGTAACGTGGTAATCAAACTGAATAAACACCAGCCACTCTGTAAGCTGACCTGGGTTATGCACATATCAAATAAGTGTGAAAAGCAATAAAAATGTCCATAATGTAGATTGTAAATTTTCCCACAAACAGGTAAAAGCCAAAGCACACATATAGATTTACATGATAGGAATTCTAGCAGATACACTTGTCTACTCAAAAATATAAATAATCAATAGGCATTAATAATGAAGTTATTCATGCATTTCCTTATTACCTTGCATATTAGTATTTCAGTTATTTGTACTTACTTAGATAAATAAATGTATAGTCATATTTTTTCCAAAATCTTTCAAAAAGATATAGACTTATTCTGAAAAACAAAAGCTGCTGTTTGGATGAACGAGTAAGTGGACCAGAAACACACAGCTTGCTATAGTCCTTGGCCGTGCATATTTGATATGTATATACAATTTATTATGCAATTTCTTGAGATCTGACAAAGTAATTGTCTGGCAAACCATAACTTTAATGACTTTTTTTTCTGTTTCATATGAAAAGATTGTAGGTATTTTTGGAAAATGGCTTAATAGAGCAAAGACAGTAAGTTTGCTTGTTGTGTTTCTTTAGTTTGGGGAGATTCGATTTTTTTTTTTTTGAGAACTATGGTTCCATGTAGTAAGCTTATTTCTTCAGCAAAATGCATGAGGCTTCCAGTATGTTATGGCTACAGAAATTATTTAAACTACTCTTGGGCCTTTACAGTAGAAATGCATCTCTTCTCAATAGAGTATGGAAGAATGGGAGTACCCTTCACCCTCTATAGGATGCCAGAAATCGAGTATATCAGAGGTAGGACATGGAAGTAGAGGAAACCAGAGGTGGAAGTAGAGACACTGGGGGATACTTAGTTTTTGATTAGGTTATTGTGATAAGAGCTTTGTGCTTTCCCACAATTGTTAGAGCATAAGATTCTCAGGTCACTTTAGTCAGCTCTACTGTCAAGCTCGGTTTGGGTCTATTTGCCTGACTCTGGAGTCAGATTCCAAGCCCGTTTGCATATAGTGTATTCTGTCCACTCACAAGACAGGGATTTTGGTTGTAGAAATAGCTGCTGCTCTCTTTGAAATCTTTAGAGGGTACCACTACACGTTGTAAATGCCTTGTGTTAGTATTGGCATCTTCTAAGCATTAATATGCTTTTTGGAAAGTTACAAAGCCCCTAAGAAAGCATGGGTATATATTATTAATAGAATCAACATGGGTCATAAAAGATATTTTTTTTACCTCACTAAAACTGTTACAGAGTGGTAAAATGACATTTTAACTAATGTCATTCACCAAAGATGGGTAAAATAAATCTCAAGTGTTACAAAATTCGTATACATAATAATTATATATACTACCTATATGAGAAGACACAAAGTGGTGAAATATGTATATTTGTGCTATATGTATATATCCATTTATTTTAATAAGTTCTTTTTGCGAGAAGATGTATGTTACAACCAAGATTAGCTCACACACTTTAGGGGTTGATGTCATGGGGCCATTGGAATAGAGCAATATGGAGTGAAGGTGGCTAGTTACCATCATGAATCTGTGAATTTGGAAGTCAGGTTAGGAGTCCCCATGCTGGAAGAGTTTCTGGGTTTCTATAGATCTCTGAGCCATACTGAATGATGAGCCTTGATGATTAAGTCTCATAACACCATGTGCTCTTCCAGTGTATAAAACTCAAAGCATTCCTTCTAATGCCTGATCTATGATCTTCCGTACTTCAGTACATGACACATACATTGAACATATGTGACAAGTGAATGATGGATGAGTGATTTGAAGAATCTTTATATGTCAGTACGACCGGAATAAGCAAATTCAATTCTCGTATCCCAGCAGTGACAAGTTCACATCCCAAATGTCTCCAACTAGTCAGCTGAACCCTTGCAAACCACAAGATTTTCCAGGTCAGTCTGGGC